AGTCCTTTTTCTCTATTAAAAAAAGCTTCATGTGGTGATGTTTCTAGAGAAATTTTCCATCCAATTTTATTCCTGACTTTTTTCCAAATCCATAAAAGTGGTTTTCTTAAACAATTATTATGGAAATGTTTAATACATTTGTTTTTATTATAATAAATATATGCATACCATCCATAAATTAAATTATTATTTTCTAATGGCAATAAATTGATTTCTTTAAGTTTAATCCAATCTTTTATCCAAATCAAAAACTTGCTCAATAGTAAATTCTTAATTCCAATACAGATAATTCTCCTCTTTCTTTACTATCTTGAAGTGTTTTAAGTCTAATTCTTGGTTTTCCCCCTGACCAAAGATATTTGGATAAGTCTCTTTGTATTATTTGTATGGGTTTCTCTCTAGTATATGGATTTTCTGAAACATAAATAATATTTTAGGCACAATATTCATTTTAATAGAAGCAATTCTACCTAACACTGATAACGCTAAAGTTTTTCCAATTTTCTAGATCTGTCCTAATCTGGTTCCATAGCTTCTTGTAATTATTTTTATATAAATCTGTGTTTTCCGCTGTTAATTCTATTCCTAAATATTTTACTTTCTTACTTATATTAAAACCCGATTTGTTCATTAATTCCAATTCCTTTCCTTTTGATAGATTTTTAGTTAAAACTTTTGTTTTCCCCTCATTTATTTTAAGACCGATTGTTTCTTCAAAATCTTCTAAATAATTTTTTAAATTTTCAATGTTAATTATGGGTTTTTCCAATATTATCATGAAATCATTGGCAAATGCTCTTATTTTAAATTCTGTCCCTTTATTTTTAACTCCCTGGATATTTTTGTTCATATTTATTTTCTTTATCAATGTTTCAATTACCATTATAAAATAATAATGGAGATAATGGACACCCCTATCTCATGCTTCTTTGTATTTTTAATCCAATTTTGAAATTTTCCCCCAATTTTCAATTTTGTAAAAATCTCAAATTTAACCTCCCAATTTACTCTGTGAAACACTTTTTCCATATCTATAAAAATTAGGGCCAATAAAAATGATAAAGTCTTATATGGTGAACTGGGCTCAAGATATAGGTGTAAATATACAATTAGAACAATGGGAAAAGTGCTGGAGTAAGAGATTAAAACACACATAAAATTATGATATTAGAGATTTTTTTTTAAGATGCAACATCGGTGGTACTTGACCCCATATAAATTGGCAAAGATGAGAAATAATCAATTAAATCAATGTTGGAAATGTAAGAAAAAAACTGGTACCTTCTACCACATGTGGTGGAGTTGCAAAGAAGCAAAACAGTATTGGAGAGTCATCCATCAGGAGATAACTAAAACACTAAATATACAGTTAAATTTAGATCCAAAAATGTATCTGCTGGGAATGATTGCAGAAGAAAATGTAGAAAAAGAATTTGGTAAACTGATGTTTTATTTAATTATAGCAGCTAGGATTATATACGCATCAAAATGGAGATCTGAAAAAATTCCCACTATTAAAGAATGGTATTTGAAAATTTATGATCTTATGGAGATGAACAAACTTACGGATCTGATAAAGAAAAAAGATGCAGAAAGCTTTAAAAGGAACTGGAACCTGTTGCTTGAATATTGGAGATCTGTATGGGGAAGTAATTATTTGATAGGATTGGAATGAAAACTGGTACTTCAAAGATGTTGATAGGATAAAGTAAATGACAAAAGAAGATGAAAAGTAATCTTAATTTGTTGATTTGTGCAGGAAATAACATGACGTCGAAGGTATTATAATGGTATATGAGAAGTAAGACATTTACGGGCTGTTTAGTAAGACACGATATACAGGGAAGTAATGTATATGTAGAAAATCATTGTGATTTGTACTGTAAAGTTGCTGTTTTGTTTTGTTTTGTTTTTAATCAATAAACATTTAAATTAAAAAAATAAGGCCAATTCTCTATCTCTGTTATTGTTGAAAAGTTCTATTAAATTTAATAATAATCCTACATTTGTTGTTTTTTTTACTGCGAAAACCATTTTGTTCTAATCCTATCCAATCTTGTAACAATTTCTTTAACCTTTCTATTAGTATTGCTGAAAAATAGTTGTAGTCAATGTTTAGCAATGATATGGCTTATAATTATTTGGGAGTAACAAGTCTTTTTCTGGTTTAGAGATTAGTATAATATTCCCTTCTTTCCATGTCTTTGGGAATACATTTTCTTTTATCTCATTCATTATTAGGTGGAGAGAGTTTATTAATTGTTCTTCAAATGTTTTATAGTACAGCAACTGTAACTATCTTTCTGATTGGATCTCCAGGAACTAACTAATGCGAGCTTCTAGAAGTGCAATGAGGAACTTTTAAGAGAGACTGTTTGTTAGGACTATGTCAGGATAGAAAGTTCAACTCTCTGTGCCAACTCCCAAAGAAATAGTTTTCTGTGGATTTTCTTAGCTATGTGGCTTAATTCTGGAATAATTTATTCCTGATGTTTTGCCTACATCTGTGGCTGGCATCTTCAGAGGGTGGTGGCATGGACGTATGTGGTATATATATACTTGTGTGATGCTTGGTTGGGAGGAAGTGATTTGCATGTTAATCTCTGTGTTGGTTTGTTGAAGGGAGCCAGTGTGGTGTACAAATACAAATGGATAGCCTTGCATGCATAAGAGGGATTTAGCTTTGATATGGAGCTACCCAAGACCAACACACAGATTAACATGTAAATCACTTCCCCCCAACCAAGGGTCACACAAGTATATATACCCACAGACCTCCATGCCACCATTCTCTGAAGATGCCAGCCTCAAATGCAGGCAAAAAGTGAGCAATAAATTCTTCCAGAATGCAGCCACATAGCCTAGAAAAGCCACAGAAAATTATGGATGCCAGCAGTGAAAGCCTTCGATTTCACATCCCCCCAAAAAATGTCTCTCTGGCTAAACAGTCATGCAATTAACACCAGGTCAAAGTTGGTCCTAGAAACTCCAGAAATGGGGAAGAATAAGATCTGCCACTTTAATCCAACATTCCCAAACCTGGGTTGCTCCATAAAAGCAAAGCAAAGCAAAGCAGCTTCATTTATATACCGCTTCATATCGCGCATGGGATGTCTAAGCGGTTTACAACTGTGAGCTGATTGCCCCCCAACAATCTGGGTACTCATTTTAGCGACCTCGGAAGGATGCAGGCCTGAGTCGAGCCTCAGCCCTGGCTGGTATTGAACTCGCAACCTTGTGGTCTATGAGTGAGTGGCTGCAGTACAGGCATTTAACCACTGCGCCACCAGGGTTGTTCAAAGCTTGGGTAGCTCCATATCAAAGCTAAATCTTTCTTATATATGCAAGGCTATCCATTTATACACCACACTGGCTTCCTTCAAAAGCTATGCTTTGTCATGTTTGGTGGCTTTAGTGTCTGATAAGAGCTGTGGAAAAACAGGATTACAGTGCTTGCTCAGTGACCTTGGACAGATCAGACACTCATTCTCAGAGGAAGGCAATGGCAAACTTCTTCTAAATAAATCTTTCCAGGAAAAAAAACATAGAATAGGATTACACAACAACAACAACAACACTATTTACAAATGACTAATAGGTTGGAAAATTAGGACTGAAGAATACAAGGAACCACAACATTGAAGTTATTCGACTGTATAAACTCTTTTACAAATAGAATTAGAAAAGCAAGCTGTTTTGACTTTTCATATGAGTTCTTTTGCTAAATGCCACTAATTTACTCAAAGAAGTCTACTTTGGACTTAACTGTTAGAGCTCACCCACTTTTTAGGACTGTTTGTTGGGCTGGTATGGGAAGGTGAAAAGATCACTTTGGTTATACAATAACCTCCATCCTGTTCTCCAACTTTTTTAAGCTCAGAAGGAGCGTAACCTCTATAACTGGTTTTGAAAAAATACATATCTGGTGCTTTCACACACTGCTATAGCGGTTCTATAGATTTCAACATAATATTTTGGCAAATATTTTAGCTTTTAAGTTTGTGTCCAATCCTAAACTTTAACAATCTATGCTTTCACCTCTTCCTGCTTTCCCCCTCCCTACTGAAGCAATTTTCTAAATCATTAATTCTCATTGGCCAGGCTTCAATTAGCTTAATCAGACATTGATGAGGTTCCTTGAAATTCTGATGTTTATTTTTCATCTTGCTTATATGCTTTTCTTGACTCTATTACCAAATAGTTCACTTGTAGGATCTTGGGTTTATAGTTCCCCATTAACACCAAGCCAAGAACATTCCTTCTCCCCATTCAGTTAGTCATTAGTGACAGTTACAGTACTCTTACTAAGGGCTGAACTGTCTAATGTTATTCAAGGTATTTCTCAGAATTCTGTTTACTGAAGTAGCTCAGCATTTCTCACATAATCTTCAGTTGGGCCTACAGGAGAGCTTATATAGAAATCAGGGCTGGCTTAGAACACCTTACTGCCTGCCCATTAATAGAGTGGCCATTGGCACCCCCAACCCCACCCCAAGAAACATGCCTAGTCCTCATCTCAGCCAAATTATTTTGGCACAGGAAGCAGAAAAAAAACCCGTGTCCCTCTCCCCACCCTAATCAAATAATTAATTAAGATTTTATTGCTCTTTTGTGACACCTTAAGTCTGATATTTGAGACAGCTGCCCTCTGTCTAATGGTAGGGTTGCTGTGATTGAAATCATCTTACTGGGGGCTGTACCAATTCCTGGACAGATCTGGAAAGATTTATTTATGCATTCCTGTGTTGTCTAAACCTCAGAACTGGGCTTAGGCAGTGATGGAGTTAATCTTTCAAGTGCTAAACAGTTTAGGGACAGTTGTTCAATCAACAGAGCTTTCTGGACTGCTCATAAAGTAGCCATAAAATATAAGAATATAATAAAAAACATTTTTAAAAGAAGAAACAAATTAGTTACCGACCAAACGAAGGAAAAATCTATGGCAGTGGAAAGATCTTTCAGATATAAAAAACGACAAATACAGTTTTTTAAAAAATAGAGCCAGTGTAGTGTAGTGGTTTCAGCAATGGACTGTGACTCTGAAGACCAGGGTTTGAATCCTTGCTCAGCCATGGAACCCTGCTGTGTGACCTTGGACAAGTTACACTCTCAGCCTCAGAAAAAGGCAAGGGCAAATCCCTCTGATCAAATCTTGCCAAGAAAACCCTGTCATTGGTCACTTTAGGGTTGTCTTAAGTCAGAAATGACTTGAAAGCACACAACAACAACAACAACAACAACAACAACTAAAATAAATCTAATAACATCCAAACAATGATACCTTTATGGGGCCAACTGAAATGCACAATTACAGTTTGCAAACTTTCAAAGCCACACTGGCTTCTTCATCAGGGACAGGAAGGAAAAATGGAAGATATTAGTCATAGGCTTGCATCCTTTTGTTTCTGGTCTTAGTTTTGGATGGTAGGGAGAGCAATTTGCAGATAGGATAGCACCTCCTCCTTTGGCCATGTGGTCAATGAGAAAGGAAATTTAATGTCTATTTGAAATTCATTGAAGATGTCTTCATTTGCCTTTCCCCAGAAGGATTACTGTGTACCAGTTTAAGCTTGCCAGGCATAATATTCCACTATCAGGGTGCCACCACAGAAAAGCCCCCACTCCTTAATAATTATTGACTTCAATTCATTTGAAGGGAGGTTTGTTGAGAAGGATATCTGAAAATGAACTTAGGCCATGAGGAGAGATGATCTTTCAAATAACCTGTCCTTAAACTGTTTAATATTTGAAAGATTAACACACTCACTGCCTAAATCCAGTCCTTCGTTTGAAAGGATTTACATTTGTCTAAGTTTGAACGGGAACTGGAAACTGAATGAAAACCATTGGAGATCACAATGCTGTGACATAGGATGACCATACCAGCAATTCCTTGCTAATAATTGCACTACACTACCCTGTTCGGAGTGGCAGTAATCCAAACAGGAAATTACTAGAGTGTGAATCATTGTGGTTTTTCTCAAGGCTCTCTTTATGGATACAGCTTCAGTAATATTGCATGGATGGTAAGTTTTTATATAATGCTTCCAAAAGGGAAGGACAGCTGATCCCTCTAAATTCTCTCCCTATATATGGAGGAGGATAAAGATAGTTGTCTTAAGTGTGCCAATGAATATGTCTGAACATTAGCAATGGGTTTTGGGTGCACTTTCAAAAAGATTTAATGTAATGACCATCTTCCCTCTGCCCCAGCTTTTCACATGAGAATAAAGTAGCGTAACTACTCTAGTGAGAAGACATGTGCATATTTTCCATGGTGTACATGTGTACCAAAGTCCTACTCTGAATTCTTTTGTCAGCTGGTGGCAGGTCTATTATTTGTTGTTTCATAATGCAAATATTTGAAATAAAGCATTCAAATCATATTGCATTTTGCATGCTAATTTCTTCTCCATATAGAAGTGAACATCCTTTTGAAAAGAAGCTTGTCTATGCTACAAAAATTGTCCTTATGTAGTATTTAAGGGCTCTTGCTTAAATCTACTGAAAACTGCTGATCATTCATCTTTACAACTACTGATCTTCATTTACTGCACTCAGCTTTATGATGCATAGTAATAGGCAGAAGAGATAAACACAAACTATCACCAGGAAGTAAAATGCAGCATTTTTCTGCCCCAAGTTGAGCTTTAAAAGTTAAAGAGATTTCATTGGGTGTAGAAGGACAAGTATGAATTCCACCATATCTCTTAAAGTGTATAGAGTACTGAAAGGGAAAGAGACAGGAAAGGAAGTAATTTAGGAATGAAAAAATTGCATATTATCAAGCAAAATATTAAAAATAATTTAGCTGGTTTTAAGCAGAGTCTCAACACTTTACAGACAGAGTTGAGGGCACTATCAAGTTAGAGTATAAGAAGGAAAGGGTAGGGTGGGAGAGGACTCAAGTGACACCTTTAATACCTTTATATGACCATTGTTAAAATCAAACTGAAGTGATGTAGAGGGTTGAACATTTGAGTATGACTCTGGAGACCACGGTTTGAATCTGTGCTTAGCCATGGAAACCCACTGGATGACCTTGGAAAAGTCACATTCAGCCTCAGAGGAAGGCAATAACAAACCTCTCTGAACAAATCTTGCCATGAAAACTCTGTGATAAGGTCACCCCTGTGTTGTCTTAAATTGGAAATGAACTGAATGCACACAACAGTAATAGCAGCAAAAAGGCTAACTGATTTATTTTAATCACCAGAAGGGGCTACTAAAATACCCTCTTTTCCCTATTGTACTGAAATAGTGTAACACTGTGAACTATTTCATTGGGGTATAACTAGATATTACAAAGAGCATGGAGCTCACTCTGTGTTAAGTGCTTCCCCTCTTGTTGTGTAGCATGTACTTCAACTTATTGCACATACTAACATCATTATTTTGAGTTTTCCCCACCCACTATTCTACAACATTGGCTGTCACTGATAAAGGCAAGGAGAAACATAGCATAATGGTCAGGTCAATGGTAGTTATATTTCAAATCGTGGAGGGCATGGCAGGGAGAATGCAGTTGTGGTTCAGAAATCACCAATGTTTATTTGTAACATTTAGTTCCATTATTTGGAAAACTGACATCAGCAATGGCCTTTTCTCTTCAGGGAAAATCCCCACCTGCTCTTTTCTCTGATAATTAAAGAGGCAGGCAAAAGAATGGTTCCAGGTGTGATAGAAAGTCCCCACACACACCTCAAGCAAACCAAAAATTCAAATTTCTGCAATATGTGTCCTTTAAGCTAAGATATCATATTTAGACTCAAGAATTATAAGCTTTTTGTAGATTTTCACTTTCAGGCAATTTTGATAAGAAAATAATGATAAGATGTTTATAGTTTTCAACAAGTGTTGAAATTATATGCTGCATTTAAACTCTCTCTCTCTCCCCCCCCATGACTTTTGTTTTGAATTCAGATTTCAAGAACTGCAGTCCTCTTATGTAAATCATTAGTCTCCTGATTTCAATTAGATTTTTCTGCAATAAGTATTTTGAATATTGTAATTGGAGCCTGAAATCATGAGGACACTTTCATGGAAATGAACTCAATAGAAGTAAATAACACTTCCCAACACTATGTAGAGATTTGAAGCATTAGCTGTAGTTTCACAAAGCAGTGGAGTATAGACGATAACACTGCTAAACTCCTAAGTGTTTACAGCTTTATTCCTCAAACCATTTTAAACCAGATTACTTTAACTTAATCTGGTTTAGTGCACTGTCAGCTAGCTGGGAATCTGCAGATAAGAGCCAGACAGGGTTAGAAGCTCCAAGGGCAGTCACCTATAGCAACTGATGGATTTCCATATTCTTAACAGGGTGGGGGCTGTCTACATAGATTATTTAAAACTGTTTTCCTCTGCCCTCACCATGACTTTTCTTAATGAGGAAGGGCCAAAGCCCTGATTTGACAGTGGACTATCTTCACAAGGGAAGGCCATACTTTCCTGTACCCTTTGCTCCAGGTCTTCCCAGAAAATCTGGAGCATTCCAGAGTGATGCTGAGTGGCTGTTTACACAGCATCCTGCTGTGCCACCCAGACCCACTGCTTCTGGTGCAAATTGCTTCCTCTGAGGCTACAATGATGTGCCCAACCATGATGCTGGGTGCCTAGTTTTAACCTCAGAGGAAGTGACTTATATCAGTAGGAGAAGAGCCAGTGGTGGCAGTACCAGACAGCACAGTGGGATGTTTGTGTAGATAGCTACCTAGCACTTCTCTAGGTAATGGGGGGGGGGGGGAGGAATTCAGGGCAGCTTCAGGGACAGAATACTCCAGGAGTAGCCTGAAGTATTCTGGCCAATGTAGACCCACCCTCCGTCACTGGTGACCAGTCAGGAGAATCATGGCTCAGCCAATCAATCAGGCAAGAGAGAGAATATATCTTCTGCTACTGAAAAGTTGGAAGATTTTGGCCAATTGCCAAAGGATTTAGATCCTATATGCTGAAATGGTGAGATGTGTGAAATTGATGTAAGTGTTCCAGTTTTGTTGAGTTGGACTTCATAACTGAAACTGGATACATTACTATCCTGGCTCATGAAACCATCAGATCAGACTAAGATTTTTTTAGCAGTCTATTTATTTGAAATTGTAATTCGGATCACAGATTGCATTTATACAGCAATTTGTTTCATTTTAAAGTAATTCTTAGACTGAGTGTTGTGGATTAAATAGCTTTTACATTTCTAATTCCTTCACCATAAACTTTGTTGTTAATTGCCATCAGGTTGGCTTCAATTTATGGTGATCCTATGAATGAGAGACCTTAAAGACACCCTGTGACTAACAAGTCTTCAAACGCAAGGCTGTGGCTTCCTGGATTGAATCAATCCTCTTTTAATGGGCCCTTAATCTTTTTCTATTGTCTTCTACTTCACTAAACATTGTTGCATTTTCTAATGGCTCATGTCATCTTATAATATATCCAAAGTCTGATGGTCTCAGTCTTCTATGAAGACTGGCTTCTATGAAGAGTTCAGGACTGATTTGCTTTAGGACCCATTTATTGGTAATGTTTACAGTCCATGGTATCCATAGAATTCTCATCCAGTATCACATGCATTGATTTCCTATTTCTCACATTTCTTCACTCCACATTTCTGCACTACACTCTTATCATGCTGCTATCCCACTTTTACTGCCCTGTCTGCCTCCTGTTGCATTCTGAGGCTTGTAGTTCAGTGAGGACTAAGAGCTCTCTGGCTGAGAATTCTAAATGCCCCTCCTTTAACTGCAAATCGCAGAATGCAACAGGAGGCAGCCAGAGCACTAATAGTGGAATAGCAGCACTATAAGAATGTAGTGCAGAAATGTGGAATGTCTAGCTTTCACAGCATATGTAGAAGATGGAAATAGCATGCATGGATGATCTTGACTCTAGTATTCAATGATACATCTTTACACATGAGGATTATATCTTGTTCTTTCATAGCTGCCCTTCCAAATCCTAGTCTTTTTCTGATTTATAATAATAATAATAATAATAAGAATAATAAATTTTTATTTGTAGCCCGCCCCTCTGCAAAGCAATCGGGGCGGGGGACAGCAGCATTTAAAACAGA